CACCCAAACATGGAGCTGGCTCCTGGCTGCCAGTGGGGAGGACTCAGCTTGGACCTGTTTCAGCCTGTGTCGGGCATCCCATATCTACCTGGCCAGGTACCCCAGGGCAATGCCAGGGCAGGGGTGGGGTTTGGGCAGCCAGTCGGGCAGGATGGGGCACAGGCCCCTGCTTGCAGCCCTTTCCCAGAGCAGGGAAACAGGCACGCAAGGCAAATGCTCTCAGCACCATGCGCCCCATCAGCTCCCCACCCGGTGCACCAGTAAACAAGTTATACAATGGGCACCGCAGCTGCTTACAAAACCCCAGCTGGCTGCTTGGCTCAGCCCGGCTGGGAGCAGTGACCTGGGCCTCTCAGGGGTCCCTACTGCTGCCCATGGTTTGCTGCCCCCAGGGCGACGCTCAGAGTAGCAGCAGAGCCATATTCTGCCTGCCACCACGATGCCCTCAGCTCCCACAGCCCCACCAGATGGGAAATGTGGGGGTAAGGGGCTCCCTCCAGGTGAGCACGGTAGCATGTACCCAGACACGGTGCCAGTGGCTCACAGCAGTGCCAGCACACACAGCGTGGTCCCCGCTGTCCCCAGCCAGGGCTGGACAGCTGGCAGCAGCTGCTCTGTGTCCAGCCCTGCTTGGGCACTGGCAGTGCAGCACATGGCTCCCTGCCTCCCTGGCTACTGCCAGCCCTTCTGAGCCATTACTCTAATAAAGGTCTATAAAAAAACCCTCCAGCCAATTAACCAAATCTCCAGAGAGCGTTGAGTCCTGTCAGAGGAGCTGAGCTGGCTTGGAGACACACTGGCTCTGCACCCCTGCCACAGGGCAGCTGCCACCATCCCACAGAGAGGAGATCCGGCCCCGGGGCCAGGATGGGGGCACCTCTGTGGTCTTGCACATGCACCCAGCTGGCATCAACACCCTACGTGGGTGCATGCAGACCCCACCACCCTTGTGCGCAACCCCCCCAGCTAGCCACATGCCCCCAGAGGAGCAAGGAGCTCCTGGCTCTGCAGGGCCACCAGGTCCTGCT